CAATCTACACTGCTAAATGCTCTTTTCTGACTTTCTGACTTTCTCCTTCTACGAGAAAATACCCATACATGTAACAATCGACACTGGTAAATGCCCGTTTCCGACTTTCTCTTTCTACCAGAAAATACCCATACATGTAACAATCGACACTGGTAAATGCCCGTTTCCGACTGTCTCTTTCTACCAGAAAATACCCATACATGTATGAATATACACTGGCAAATGCTATTTTCTCACTTTCTGACTTTCTCCTTCTGCCAGAAAATAGCGTTACATGTATCAGTCTGCACTGGCAAATGCTCTTTCCTGACGTTCGGACTTTTTCCTTCTACCAGAAAATAGCGATACATGTATCAGTATATACTGTAAAATGCTTTTTCTCACTTTCTGACTTTCCCCTTCTACCAAAAAATACGCATACATGTATCAATCTACACTGGTAATTGCTCTTTTCTCACTTTCTGCTTGTACCAGAAAATGTCGATACGTGTATCAATGTACACTGGTAAATGCTCTTTTCTGACGTTCTCCTTCTACCAGAAAATAGCGTTACATGTATCAATGTACACTGGTAAATGCGCTTTACTCACGTTCTGACTTTCTCCTTCTACCAGAAAATAGCGATACATGTATCAGTATATACTGGTAAATGCTTTTTCTCACTTTCTGACTTTCCCCTTCTTCCAAAAAATACGCATACATGTATCAATCTACAGTGGTGAATGCTCCATTCTGACTTTCTCCTTCTACCAGAAAATACTCATACATGTATCAATTTACACTGGTAAATTCTGTATTCTCACTTTCTGACTTTCTCCTTTTACGTGAAAATACCGATATATTTGTCAATAGTTCTAACTTAGAGCCAAAAGAAAAAAGTCGTTTTATGTTGCAAATCGAATTGAGAAACACATAGTGGAAGAGACATATTGGTAGGATCCTGTTGGATTTATATTTCTCATGATAGAGAATGCTATAAATAAGTGCTCTGCCAGTTTTTGTGTTCAGGATATGATCCACCTTTCCTATGGTTCGTTGATGGCTTTCTATGATCGTTCTCATAAATATCTGCAGGAGTAAACGGCTGTTCATCTTGTATATAGTATTTATGTTGAATAATCCATCTATATGATAACTACAAGGCCTCATCCAAGCATAAGATGGTGTTTGTTTCAACTGACACACAACTGAAAAACATATCGACCAGGTCTGTCTAAAATCTGAGATCGTTCCTAGACGAACCATCATGTTTTGTCTTGTATTATTTGTTTTTATTCATACTATAATAAAAGCACATAGTCTACTCTTCTTAGACAGTTCGTTTACATGAATGTATTTTTCTCTTGTTCTTTTTCATATCTTGTTTTCGGTATTTTTAAAATAAAATTCTAGTTTATAGAATGCAAAGTAAATAGTATTTGTAGCAGTCATTTTCCACGCACAGTCAAATCGCTCACTTTCTTCTCTCCGTATCGCACAAGAGAAAGAAGACGGCCGGTATCGATAAATGACTTGACTTGTCCGATGTTCTCCTTCTCTTCTTTGTTTGGTTAACGTTCTTCTTCTATTTTTTTTCAAAAGCCGTATAAATCACGTCACTGACATGTGCTGATTTCGACTTATCATTAGTGCCTTGCTACTTTTATGTGCCAATAGCAACAGTAACAGGCACAGTCTCATTGGTTATTTCATTGTTTTACACTAGTTTTGCAAGATTATTTATCGATAGATTAACTACTATATGAAAAGGAAAGTTGAAAGGTGTCCTTTTTGCTAAATTAGATCGACAGGGCTGCTGCTGTCCACTATCTTTTAAAGCAAATCGTGAAGGACGGATTAACATTTTCCCTGTCTTAGTAAGCTCGCGATCAATATATGAGTGAGTTGCATTGGTATTGTACCGTTGCTGTTCACCGATTGTTTTGCTTAGAAAAGTCGTCCTACGGAACAAAACTTAATATTTTTTTTGGGTTTGTTTGTTTAAAGATGGTTATTCAGTACTGAAAAATAAAAGTTTCTATCTCATTTGGTTGTCGAGATATGAACGAAACAAGGCCAAAACAGAGTAATTTTGGCGCCGCCTCTCGAAAGAAGTGGGAGTCTTCCTCCATCCCGTTTAAAGATTACTAAATTATACTTTAATAGAATTTGTAGCCCGAAAACAGGACTTTCAATTTATGTATTTTGATTTCAAGTAAAAATTAATTTTTCCATAGAAGCAGCAAAAACTGCTGTTACAGACATTTTTCAAAATTTTGTCCTGCGAGACTTCAAGACGGTCTCCATACGACGCAAATGATTTAAAATATTTTCAAATAGGCAGAAAAATAGAGTAAGAGCTGCTCTACATTTTGCTAAAAGAGGGTTTTTTCCAAGTCTTTATATCTCAATAGAAACCGTGTTTGAATATGCTATACAATATTGTTTTCACACACAATGTCCTGCGAGATCTGAAAAATTGTTTTGTCTATAACTCGAAAATGGGTGATCCATTTGAGGCCAAAATTTTACCCTTTTTTCCTTCTTGGACGATTAGTATGTGACAGGAAAACGAGCTTTCAGAAACACTTTGTTCCTGAGAAAAGCGCGTTTTATATCAAAAACGTCCTGCCAGATTTATTCTGTCTATAACTTGATCAAACAGAGTATAACTGACACTCATAATACATCAATAGATTCCTCGAAGCCAGGACTATCTATGTAACTGGATGTAAACCTTTTTGGCTACCAATAGCCACCGGGTGCCAGTTCTGGGACTCGCAGGAAATCCGACACAACACCCGAGCCGCGGAAAACCAAGGTCTCGCTTGACTCTCATTTTGAAGAGGATACCTTGGGCTATCATAGCATAAAAGAAAATCAATACAATCCTATTGAAAATTTTTTACACATGGCCTGGTTTTCCAAAGATCTCCTAGAGAACCCATTTCAGAAAACACTTTTTTAAAAATAATTATAATGCTTATGAAAGCATCTCAGCAAGTCTCTTTTTCTGCATGGCGAAGGTTGAAACTCTCTAGCTACTTTTTATCAAATGTTATTCAGAAAACATCCGAGTCCAGTCTTTTTTTACTGACAACACTCAGAGATTGCATAGCTCTTAGAAAAAATCATATTTCTCAGTCAATATACAACCAAGTGTTGGGAATCTTGTTTTCCATAAAGCTCGAAAGTAGTACTATCTAATATATGATTCAGAATTATTTTATTCACAAATTTTTGTTTTTTCGTTTTTTTTGAAACGGTACAATGCCAATGCAACTCACTCATATATATATGAGTAGAGAACAAGTAGATAGTTATAATTTACATGTGTAATAACTAATAAGTACCAATCGATGTCGTTTTCTCTTTAATCGGTTAACAAAAAAGTAGATCGGTCAACGCGTTTTGCTTTAATTATCTATTCTATCGACAGTTTCTAACCAAGAACACATTTACGAGAGAATGTATACAGCCTTCGTTTCGTATCTATTGATTTACTTTAATCTAAGTCAGCAGAGTAGATTCAGTTCCGGAAGGCTTACGACAGTGGTGTATTGTTCGGTACAGAAACAACTTACATAGTGAGCGCTAGCGACAAAAATCGTATGTTAATATAGAAAGAACCCTCCCGTATATATCAGGTGCATCAACAACATGCATCAAACAGTTCCAGTTCTTAACTTCAGAACTGAAACTCTACATCTGTAAAAATGTAGCTATGTAAATAAAATTTAATATATTCGAATTAAGTTTGGATAGAGAATGTTGATGGAGTATAAAAAATTACACTTCTGTTCATAAATACGTGTTTCTAACTCCGACAGAACATGCTATTTTCGCAGAAAAAAACAGTAGTGAATAAGCGGAATATCCCTAGTACATTTTCCCTGATGAAATTTTTAGTAGGTTCTTAGAAATTTATGGGTGACTCCATAGGTTTTTGTAGTGAGAATACATGGCATCTACACCATTTTGTTTTGCTTTTGCAGATATATTTATATATAAGACAGTATGTGTCTTTTTTCAAGGTTTTAAACAATTTGCTTTACCATTTCTGTGTAAAAACAGAAAGTTTGATGATTCGAAAATGCTAAAATCTGGAGTTATTGCTTTGAAAATAGGCACAGTTGCTCTTTATACTATTAGATCATTCATCAATAAGGGAATTTAGCGATTTTTAGTTCATAGACATCATAGATAAGTCTTAGATTCTTTTCCATTGAATAACTTACCTGCATCAAATGTCTACTTTAAAAAACTGAAAATTGCACAGTTCTTCTTCTTTGCTAGTTCCTATTAAACGTACTCGAAGTTTATTTAGATGTTAAGCTAAAGCCTTTACTGTTACCCTTTTTTACTTGACTTATTATTTGCCTACATTGATATTTTTGTCGACTTGAACTTTTTTCTTCTGCTGTCATTTCCGGAAAAAGTGTAGCAAAAGTGAGCACTAGACTCTTTTTGTACTTTTTAATATGCTCTTTCTCCTGGTCTGTAAAGAGAAGTTTTAAAGCAGATGGTGTGCTGGAGACCGAAATTTCAAAAATTTCTTCCCGTTTTCAACAATGTGTCCAAGCAAGAAACGGAAAACATGATCGAAGTTTTGATTTTGCAGTTAGGTAGTGAAGAGGAAATATTTCTTATCAAAACAAGATAGACCCAATAGAAACAGCTTTTGTTCTGACGAAGTTATGGGACTTTTACTGAAAGCACCACTATACTAGAACTGACACGCGCGATAGAAACTTCCATAATTCTGCAGCCAATAATCATTGTACGGAATATCAATTATAATAATACAATAATCAATTCTTACAGGCTACAATGAGACAAGTCTCTCTTAGATCATTTGGATTTCTAGAGAGAGTCGTTGTTCTCTCTCTATCTCGCTCGCTCACTCTCTCGTTAGAAATGTTTTTTGCAATTCATAATAATACCACAGTCTTCTTGCCCTTTCGATGGATATGTCTCCTCTTTTATTTCAAAGATTGGAATATGTAGGACTTATCACTTCAATGCAACGTTTTACTCCTAGAGAAAGTTCAATTCACGATAGTTCAGTTATGACCAATATCACTGATGATACGAAAGATATTAGCGATGTCAACGTGAATGATATTGGTGATTTTAAAGAAAATGTTATTGCAACTACCGGTGTGGCCAGCTGTATCGTATTTTCTATACATTTTAAGAACAATCAAAGTGTTTTTCTAATGCATTTGTCCAGTGAATTTTTATCAGATTACACGCGGAACATTAACGACAATAATGATCTATTTCAACCGATTCAAAAATTGTTTGAAAACATTGCAGTGGAAGCATTCATACGTGGAGATGAAGTCAAGCAAGTTGCGATCATCGGAGGAATTAGTGGTGACGAAAACGCGGTCATTATTCAAGATATAATTCTTGAATTAATAAGAGATCCTGGAATTATTGGCACAAATAATGAAAATCTAATTTGTTTTCTGAAGGTAAGTTGAGCGGTTTCGCAGTAGCACATTTTACGGGTTGTCCAAGCGGATTATTGGTAACAGAGAGTGATTTCTTGAAGTTTTAAAAAGTATTTCTAATTGCCTATCGATAACCCTGAATTTTCTTTATATGCAAATATTAAATTGCTGAGTGATTTGCTAGGGTAGATTATCATCTTAGATGTGTAGTGTTGTCGAAGAAACCTTTTAAGGAACACATACTTTTATTCTAACGAAATCATATATTTTCCGTGATCGGAAATAACTAAGTTATGAATATTTTAATTTTACGCGGTCATAGCACCAACCAAGATTGTTTTCTAAACAACCGTTGAGCCCCTGCATTCTGAGAAAACAATAAAAATGGCACGAAAATCAGCACAAACGATTATTTGTGCAGTTTGTGTTTATGAGGCTCCCAAAAGTATCTGCTGACGGATACGAAGATCGTGTCAAAATACCATCGTAAAGATTGTATCAAATCCTCTGTCCGGTATCGCAAATCCGTTTTGTTTTAATGATCTTTCTTTTTTAAACGAAATTAGTCGGGTGCTCAGTTCTTCTGTGTGCGTAGTTAGTTCGAACTAATTAAATGCTTCTTAGCAAAGGCTGTTTTTTCTGCTTTTTAAAGTTTTCTGATCTCAAATAAGATCCCACATCGCATTTTATCACTTTTCCGTTTGAGGTTTCATAATATGAACTAAGGCGATTGTTAATAGGATTTTACTTTTTTTGTGATTAGATTCAGAAATCTCCACTCACTTCTATATTTTACGAAAGAAATGAAGTGGCGAGAAAACTTTTTCACACTTACCTCAGACTTTGATAATCCTCGGTGCAAAAGTAGCTGCCGAAATCTCCAGCAATGGTTCTTCGCTCAAGAACATGGTAGAAAGTTCATTCTTTTTCTGATTGAAAGAGCTGACCCTAAACTTCAAAAAACATAGGAAACGAAATTTTGAGATTAGCTTTGAGGAAGAAAGAAGTACGACACCAAATGTCGCTAAAAAAGCTTTTGTCCCCTTCAAACGTGTTTCTCGCATCAAACCTATTTTTCTCTATAAAAGAATACGTTTGAAATTATAGAAACTAGAAGTGTTTTTATCACTCTTTCAAATGGGGTATGATAACGTATGTTTTGATCCACCTTCCAACCGGAACTCTGCAGGTTTTTCATTAGTTTCTGAAAAATAGATAATTAGCCTTAATTAATAATTTTCATATACTGGACTAAGTTCCTCCTTTTTCTAAATCACATTTTCTGAAACAGCATGCAATTCTCTACAAATTCGCATTAGTTTTAACCTTTACTAAAACATGTTTAGAGCCCTGAATAACGAATTTTTCTCGGTGTTCCATCTTTCCATGCAAAGTAGAGCTTGCTGTCAAATAATGCGCTTTATTACCATTAAACAATTACTGAGAAACTTTCTAAAGTAGGGAAGTCCATAGAGTTTTGCACGGGCTACTTTCTCATGTATTTAGTTTTCAAGAAAAAATTTTCTTCAGATCGTGGTAAAAAAGTAAAAAAATAAAGTATGGTGCAAGGGCCTTTTTAGCGACATTTGGCATCGTACTTCTTTCTTCCTCAAAGCTAATCTCAAAAATTTCGTTTTCTATGTTTTTGGAAGTTTAGGATCTGCTCTTTCAACCGGAAAAAGAATGAAGTTCCTACCATGTTCTTGAGCGAAGAACCATAAAGATTTCGGCAACTACTGTTGTACCGGAGGTTACCCACTTTTTTATTCTCACTTCATTGTAATACTTCTCTGATTAAAAGAGACTTCAAACTTTTCATTCGTCAACCGAACGTTTGACACTTATTGTCTTTTCTTTTACAGGCAATTAAATTTGTCGATTTAAAATGAATGGTGCATCAAAGTGTTTGAAACAGGAAGAGATATATTGCTATGATTCAACTATCGTCGTCAAAAGTTGTTTTGGCGAAGAAACATTAACTGTATACACATATGGACATCGTTTAAGTGATAAAGGAGCGCAACTTATATCTATACTCAATGTTAATTTATCAAATAACGATGCATATTTATTTATATTGGATACAACAAAAGATGAGTATTGTCATAGTTTAGTACAAAATATGTATGGTTATGGCAATTCCTACATAAAAACATTAACAAAATATATTACACAGTGGGGAATTTTAGCCAGGCACGTGAACATGTGTTATAAAAGCGGTATGAAAGTCCCTAAGCACTGTTTTTATAGGTTTTCGTATACGCTCTTTTCAATGGCGCAGTCTTCAGACTTCCGAAGTATGTTCGAACTGGTTTTTCAAAGATCGGATCTATGAAAAACCGGTACAAACCTACATTGAAAGCTTGACGATTGCCTCATTGAAAAGAGCGTATACGAAAACCTATAAAAACAGTACTTAGGGACTTTCATACCGCTTTTCTAGTATATGTTCACGTGTCCGGCCAAAATTGCTATGTCAATACGCTGAAACCGTCACATTACACTAAATCGAAACATTTTTCATTCAGAAATATCTCAGACACACATCTTTAGGTGCAGTTTTTCGCTCTGATTCCAAATCTGTCATTACTTTTGCGAAAAACTGCTTTGGAAGCGAGAAAATCGCGAAAAACTTTCCGAAAATCCGGTTTTTTGAAAAGATGTATCTCCCTGCAAAAGCGTTTGGGCAAGTCTGGGCTAATTCTCCAAAGTTGTCACATATAGACGAACATTTCCTGAAAGTTTTATCTTGAACGGACTTTAGCTAAAGTTAGCGCGCTTGCTATACTGAACACTTCTCTCATGCACGTGCATGCGAAAATTGTTTCGATAATTTTTTCCTTAGAAAACTGACTTAAACGAAAAATTTTTTTATCAATCGAAAGCTTAGATGTTCAGCTTTCATAATCTATTAAACTTAATTTTTTTTAAACTAAACATTCGACGAAAACCGATTAACACTTTTCACCGTGAAGCTAGCATCTGACAAATCTGGCTCTCGAACCGAAAATGTCCGAAACTAAATTTTACATATTTTATCTGCTGGCACCAACTTCGTGGCGATCTGTAATCGCGGACTGTTGGAGATGCTTTATTCCCTTGACTGAAAGTCTTGGGTCATACAAACGAAATGTCCGTCCGTCCGACCGTCCGCAGTAGGCGAGCGACATCGTCGTACGCGTCCTCCCGAGCGTTAGCGACAAAAAACAAAAAAAACACGTAATTACTACTTTTCTCAACAGCAGGACATCCTAGATCTGCGAGCCCTGAATAAAAAGTGTCAGAGATTTAATTTCACATATTTTATCTGCTGGCATCAGTTTGCTTAATTAGCGAGAAAAACGCTAATTTTTGATAATTAACACTTTTCACCGTGAAGCAAGCATCTGACAAATCTGGCTCTCGAACCGAAAATGTCCGAAACTAAATTTTACATATTTTATCTGCTGGCACCAACTTCGTGGCGATCTGTAATCGCGGACTGTTGGAGATGCGTTAGGTGGGGGTTGGTTTAGTGGCTTTTTGTGCATTTTCCATGTTTTACCCATGGGGACTTCTGAGTTTTTTTGAAGTTGATGATTGTGTGTGTGTTTTCCGGAAAGGGGTTGGGTGTGTTGCTGTGTATCGGATTTCGTTGGCAATGTGTATCGTTGGTGGTAGTGTTGTGGTGCAAGCGGTTGCCTTAGTGCGACACCTGGCGATGTGCGTTTGTGTCGTGTTTCGTTGTTGTATGATCCGTACCGGCGAGTTTTGTAGTTTTGTGTGATTGTTCTTTTTTGAGTGTGGGTACCTGTATACTGCAGCTGGGGTGCGGTTTCATGTATGGTGTACGGAGGTTTTGGTGATGTTGTGTCAGGCATGCTTTGCTTCCTTTGCTTGTGGTATCAGGTTTATTTTTGTGCGGACTGTATCGTTTGTTTTCGAATTAGCGGTTTGTTTGTTGATTGTTTGGAAGTTCTTTTCCGACTAAGTCTTTCTGCAGTTCGGAACGAAGGAAGATCTGCCGAAAGGGTTGGTGATGACTTGTTCGTTGATGTTGATTAGAATGTTTAGTGTTGACGCGTATCTCGCCGTCTGCTAGCTTGTGCGTTTTGGGGATATTCTGAGGGCGTGTTTGTTTCGTAGATGCCAGCCAGAGTTAGCTTTTTAAACTTCCCGAGCGGGGCCAGAGAAAACTACTTGTGAACTTTCGGAAGAAGTAATACGAACAGTTTCCTCATTTTGGACTATTTTCAAACGATTAAAAGGTTTTCACAGTGACTTCTAGACCCATCGAAATCAGTTTTAAGTAGATAACTGGAGTAGTTTTATTCAACCATACCGAAGACAACAAAATTCATTTTCTGTAAGATGCGAATTTCGCTGTTTTATCAACAGTCTTCCAGAGCAGGACTGTTAATCTCTACTACGTGAATATCCTGCTGCTTTTCTTTCATTTTTAATGTTTGTTGCACTATTATCAGCGGTAAAATACAAGGGCGGTCGTTATTTTTTGAATAACTCAAGAGGAATAAAAGATAGAGACTTGCGGTTTTCGTCATTCGCTAACCAACATCTGAAGCTATGTTTTCATAAGCAAAAACGAGTTTAGAAGGATTTCAAAAATCGTTTTTTCAGGAGATCTGTGGAAACCAGTTCGGTTCTCTGAAAGCAGACATAAAAATCCATGGATTTTTTTTCATATCTCTTTTTTTTTCTCATTTTTCTTCATGCGGTTTCACCCCGCCCGTGTGTTGAATTCGGTGCTTACCCGTCCCGGACCGCCCGTGTGTCAATCAAAACCCGTGCCCTGCAGTCCCGTGCGTTTCTAGAAATTTGCTGCCCCGCCCGCCCGTCGCAACATTGCACGACAAGCAACTTGCTTGTACTAACTTAAAACACAGCACTTTTTTAAAAAAAACATGTCCGGGTCAAAATGCGTTTTTTAGAACACTGAAAGCTAATTCTGAACAAAAGGCTACTGTGGATTTCAAAATTCAATGCACCGGACTGTTTTTTTGAGCAAAAGCCGATAATGATTTGTAGCTTTCATCAGTTTGTACTAAAAATTTGTAGAAATCTCTAGAGAGAAACAAAATTTAAAAAAATTTTCTTCTGCCGTGATGTACCACATTGAACAAGCTACGAGTAACTGCCACTCTCAAAATCTCCATTCGAATTTTTCATTTGTTTCTCGAACTAGACAGCCTAGAGTCTAGAATATGTCCTACAAAACTATGCAAGTCGTCAGCTATCGTTTACGAGATGTCATTTTAGAATCAAAGATTAAGGCTCACGTTTTCGATCTCAAAGACTCATGCATGAAAATGTTTTTTGTGTAATGGATCGAAAAAACGGTCAGATTTTATGCCTTTATTAGAAATTGTTAGAGAATCCAAATTTTTGTAAGTGATAAGCAAGGAACCTGCTTGTTTGCAAGTTTACTTTTATTACACACCTAAAATGAAAATGACACGTACAGTGAGGAACCATATTCCAATCTAGATATAAAAATGTACACGATCGGGATATTATAGCCCAATCGGGATATATTTTTTTCGATATCCCGATCGAACTATATTCCTATAGCCCGAACAGGATATCTACTGTTTTGAATATCCCAACCAGGATAATGTTTTCTTACAGTAGGGCCGTAGTTTAAAACTAGTTAATGTGGCACTTGTAGTGCAAAGATGATATAGAACATAACATATCAGCCGCCAGAACTTGAGTGATGAAAACGTTTCAGTATTTTTAAAACTTTAAATATATGAAAGCAGTTTACGCATCCGAAAACATTTTTTGTAAACAATGTTGCTTACTTCGCTTTGCGGACGATGAATCACGATGGACGACCGTGACTTTAACTGAATATGTCATTGGATGTCGCCTTATGTATGTCCAGAGGGTACTTTCACATAGCTCTACCCTCTTTATACATGACTAAAAGCCGAGAAGGTTTGACTATATGTCAATTTCTTTTTCAAATACATAGCTTATATCATAGTACCATTAAAAGCATGTAAAGGCTTCCTGTCATTCCCTGGAAAAATTATTCCGAACACGGCTTTTCCTCTACCATAAGTTGTGAATTGAAGCATTTTTGAGGGTGCCAGAATAGCGAAATCCGATCTTTTCTAATACTCTCAAGCGTTCTCCTACTGCTAGCTACAAAGTTCAGCATACAAAGAAAGAGCATACAAAGTTCAATATTTCTATTTGCAACGACATTTTCTTCTTTCACATTCCAAAAAACAGTTTTGACGAGAGGGTCTTATCTGCGTTAACAGATGTTACTCGTTTTATAGCCTGTTCGACGAGCTCAGAATCTAATAACACATAACTTTATTTATAATCAAATGAAAGCGACTTCCAAGCTTGTCCACATTATGCAAGAATGAAGTCTGTCGCATATTTCATTTGTTCATGGTAAGCTTAGTCGGGAGACCTACTTTGATCCTTCCTGACCGTGCGCGTTGTGTTTGTAGAAATAAAAAAATGTAAGGAATTATCTGCGTACAAAAGAAGCACAACCCCTAACTAGAGTAACTAGCATTTTGACGAGACAGATTTTTTAGTTGCGCACTAGAAGCAGTGGCGGGATCCAGCGTTCTATCGACGGATTGGTGATTTCTAAACGATTTCGTCCGAGATAGTATGAATATTTTTTCTGGGGAAGTCTAGTAGTGTACTTGCATTAGAATTCCATTTGCGAAGGGACGGCGGTCGTTGGACCGTCGTAGTGCTAGATCCTCCACTGACTAGCAGGTCTTGCTTTCTTGCGCATGCCTACTAGGGTTGATTTGCATGGTTTTGTTTTCTACGACCAAAAGTATAGGGTTTTAATCTTTCAAATATTATTATTTAGAAAAGGATGAGTGTAAAATGAAGAATAAGTATCTAGTTAATCCATTTCTCGTCGCTGTGCCGTATAACGTTTTTCATACTCTTCATAACCATCGTACTGCTGAAATTGTGTTTCACTGAAACGATTACCTTCAAGGCAACTGAGGAGAGATAGAGTAACAGAATCTCTGAGTAATGAAACTGGCATTGTGTTCAACTGTAAATTGTTATTGTTCAAACGTAAAGTTTTCAAACGTTTACATCTTGATATTCGATCAGAAATTTGAACAATCTAAAATACAATTACAATACATATGCGAGAAAACTAGAAAATTGCTGAGAAAACTTCTTTTCCTGCACTTTTTGGAGGCTCAAGTTATTAGACTTCACCTCACTTGATTATTATTCAGATTCAATTCATCTGCTTGCAACCATTCAATTTCATCTGGAATAACTGTTATTCGATTTAGGGATAAATCAATAAATTGTAAACTATTCAATTTCAGAATCTGCTTTGGTATCGCTGTCAGACGATTATTTGACAGATTTAGTTGTTGTAAAGCTTCAAGATAGATAAATGTATGTGGCAGAGTTCGTAGAAGATTATCACCCAGTTAAAGGTTTTGTAATATCAACAGGTGACTAAATACATCTGGCAGTGATTCTAAAACAGGGGAAACAAAATTACACTGACTATAAGCGTTGGAAAAACATAGCGAACATACCAATGCGGTTGTTACGAAGGTGTAGATTTTTTAAATAAACCCAGTTTCCCACCTGCGCTGGTACAATTTCAATTTCATTATCATTCAGTGAAAGAGTTCGCAAATTAGGACAATAATCCATGATCTCAGCAGGAATCTGAATTTGCAATGAAGTTTGAGTCTTAGAAGAGAAGAAGAGAACATAAAACTTACGTCTTTCAATTTCTGCCCATCAAACCGTACGACGTTAGTCTTCCTAGCTAGTTCGAGCTGTTTTTTTGAATCACTGCCATTGTCGCTCCTCATTTTTAGTCTATAAGGGAAAAAGAAAACACAGTTAGTGTACCCCCCCGCCCCCGTCGTCTTCTAACTCCTAGAACACTGGCGGGAAGCAGTGGCTGGATCCAGCGTTCTATCGACGGATTGATGATTTCTAAACGATTTCGTCCGAGATAGTATGAATATTTTTTCTGGGGAAGTCTAGTAGTGTACTTGCATTAGAATTCCATTTGCGAAGGGACGGCGGTCGTTGGACCGTCGTAGTGCTAGATCCTCCACTGACTAGCAGGTCTTGCTTTCTTGCGCATGCCTACTAGGGTTGATTTGCATGGTTTTGTTTTCTACGACCAAAAGTATAGGGTTTTAATCTTTCAANCCTACTAGGGTTGATTTGCATGGTTTTGTTTTCTACGACCAAAAGTATAGGGTTTTAATCTTTCAAATATTATTATTTAGAAAAGGATGAGTGTAAAATGAAGAATAAGTATCTAGTTAATCCATTTTTCGTCGCTGTGCCGTATAACGTTTTTCATACTCTTCATAACCATCGTACTGCTGACATTGTATTTCACTGAAACGAATCTCAGTAGGAATCTGAATTTGCAACGAAGTTTGAGTCTTAGAAGAGAAGAAGGGAACATAAAACTTACGTCTTTCGATTTCTGCTCATCAAACCGTACGACCTTAGCTAGTTCCAGCTGTTTTTTTGAATTACTGCCATTGTCGCTGCTCATTTTTAGTCTAAAAATGTAAAAGGAAAAAGAAAACACAGTTAGTGTGACCCCCCTTTAGAACTCGATCTGCGGGACTAAATAGAAGACCAAGTGGTCTTCTATTATGGGGTGGGCGGGGTAGTTGAATTTCTTCTGTTTCGAATGTTCTTCACGAATGAACGTGAGATTTCGGTACTAAGAGTGTAAGATTTTCAAGTGATTCTTTTTGGTAGAATCTGTCTAGTTCTTCACGCTAAGCACCGTCATTCTTAGAATTTGTGTTCCAGCTTTGCAGTGGCCTTGGAGAAAACTGTGTTAGACAGGTTTTTAAACGTCTACGCGAAAGAGGGGTCT